TTACTCTACGTCAAATCTGAGGCCCATGATAATCCCTATACCTAATAAAATGGTAACAAGCAACAGCATGTCACCAAATGCTCTGATTTTTTCAGATGCAGTGTACAATGTCACAGGCATTATTTCATAGGGAACCAAGCCATTGAATCAGAATGAGCCTGCAAAGGTGCACAGGGGAGAGAGTCCTTCTGAGGGACTCCAGACTAGTCTCTAACTTCTTCTGCAGGGGACAGGGAGTGAGAGAGACAGACAGAGGGACAGAGACAGAAAAATAGGGAAAGAGAAACTGAGATCAGTCATCTCAGGGGGAAGAGAAGTTAAGTACAACGTTTTGGGGGAGAAGGGAAGAGAATTCTCTGCAGGATGAGCTCCTACTCCAAGAAAACACAGATGAAACAATGCACTAGATAACCCTCAAGGCTCTTTTAAGACTAGATATCCAACAGCAATTCTAGTTTAGGGCTCTGATACAACAATATTCTGCCACTTTATAGCATTTGTCATCCAGTTGATGGTGGGGGCCTGGCACAATGAACGAAGAGGAGGGGCAGCTATGAAAAGAAGCCTGCGTGAATGAAGTCTGGATTTGTGCAAATCATTAGAGAGATTTCTCAGACAAGTTTAAAATTGTGGGATGGTAAGTGCAAATGTTGCCTGGAAAGATTACAGAATGAGTTATTATGATGTGCAGTGCCATAAGACATAACTAGCGTGTACCAGGATAAAACCCTGGTGGCCTAATGTGGCTCTGCCTGAGCTCAGTAGAAAAACTCCCTCTTACAGAAGAACAGGACTGCACCCTGGATCTACCATCATCAAAAAGAGTTGGCTAGGAAACAGAAGTTGGGCAGTCTTTTCCAGTGTTTTTGCTCTTTGGGTTTACTTCTGGTAATGCAGAAATTAGTTAAATAAATAATAAAGTAGGTCAAAACAGACTTTTGCTTTTTGAAGACATTTTTCCACCACAACCTTATGGCTCAAAAGAATATGAACTGAATGAACACAGAGCAGACAGCTTCCTAGCGGTTAACCCGCTCCCCCTTGATTCTTTTCCTTCCACTGAGCTGTACAACATTGTTTTGAGTAAGTACACATAAAAAAACAGCCTTCAGACCAACTCTTCAAATATAAATTGGAGTGGAAATGTTCAAAATCAGGGCCAGAAGCACCATGCAGGAGCAGAATTATATGTCTAGTTAGGCACATGTCTGGTTTCAGTGAGTTTTGTTTATTTTACAGATTGGCAAATTGAATACAGTCCACAAAAGAACTCGGTATTTGATCTGGTTTTGCCCACTTCAAATATTTTCAAATCCATGCTTGAGTGAGTCACAGTACCTCCCACTACCAAAAGTCTTTCGATTTTCATGTCTAAATATGGAGCATTATTTAGAGACCAGAGCTAGGAGGCAAGCCCTTTACTACAAGACACAGACAAGGGGCAAAAGATCTAATAAGCCAACTCATTTTCAATATAGAGTCTTTTGCTGTGATTCACTGGAACCTAGGGCACCTATACACGTGATGGCGCTCTGCTTCGAGACTGCTGCTGTAATAATTAGCACACTCCAGCAGGCTCTGCATCATGTGCATTCAGTGTCCCCATGTTTCAAAATGGCAGTGGGGGCACTTTAACTGAAGCTCGTTGAATGAGCTTTAGTTAAAGCTTCCCCTCTGCCATTCTGAAGCATGGGATACTGAATACACATGATGCTGCAGGCGCTTTAATTAAAGCGCCCCACTCTACCCCGGAGCATGTATGTAGTGATTAACCTCTTATGGATACTAGAACCTGCTGCTTCCTCCAATGTTTTGACTCCTGTTTCAGAAACAGATTTTTTTAGGGGAGGAAATAAATCCAGATTGCCTTTCAGAACTAGTATGACCATACTTTTGTGCTGAGTATGCAGTTTTCAGCAGCAGGTAAACAGAAGAAATACTGACAGTGAAATATTGTGTTAGCATGCTCATTTATTATCTATTCCATTACTTTTATTTCTGTGAATAACATTTAAATAAATTCTATACCATTTCATTCCACCGATTTCAATCAGCTCTGGATCAGCTCTTAGAAGGCTATGCATTATCATGATCTCATGAAAAAGAAATACATGTAAAGGCATAGCACAATCTGTGCTCTGTTGTACAAGACAAAGCAGTAGGGGAAAAGACAAGAACAATGTACAGAACGGATCTGCATGACAGTCATTCCAATGGCAAAATTATTACAGGCTATTATCTAGTTGTCTGGAGGAGCAGTGGACCAGCTGGCTGTGATGTTCTGCTCAAAGCTAAACACAGACAGGAAACCGCATGTCTGATACTGTAAAAATCGTTTGTCTTCCTGCCACGGCTAACCAGGCAAGCAACCCAAAGGAGCTGTTTTCATTTAAAAAGAAACACTAACCCTCTACAATTAAAAAAAAAAAGAAAAGGAATGACAAAGCCTCATTTTTTTCTCTTTGGAGTCAATGTTTGTGTTTGTGAATGGACTGGAAATGTTACAAATTGAAAATTTGTGTTGCTGTATTTTTCAGCTGGACTACTCAGAGGCTAGGCATAATGGCAATGCAGTTCTCCCATACTCACAAAAGACTCTACCTAGAGAGAACCTAACCAATCCTAGAGCGTAAAAGAATTAATTAGAGTTAAAAAAAAGACCAGGTCTATGTTTATACAAAGCCTTCTTTCACACTGCTCTGACAGTGGAATTAGATAACACTGGATTTATGGAATGGTTGCCATAAACATTAACTCAGAAGACACATTTGACATGCCAATTATATTAAGCTATCTAGCAACTATAACATGAGTAATTCAACACCAGATTAGACAACATCCATAAGGGTGTGGCTGGCTTTACTTAGAAAACCTTGACACCTGAGAGATGGTAAAATGGTTGGATCTTTTCACTGGGAACATATTCACTGCAATTAAATCAAGACAGTTTAGACCATGAATCTGCATCTCTTACTGCATAATAATAGTTACTTAAATGACTACATAATTTACATGAGTAAAGATACCAAGTATTGCAGTATTTGGTATACCAAGATACTAAGTATTGAACGATTTGGGTCCTTATTGATTCTTTTCCAGAAATTCAAATACAGTCCTTAATGCCTGTATCAGAGGAATACATGCAACATGATAATTCAGTGTACTGCACACAGCACTCACATGGAGTACACCTGCACAAAGCAAGTCCCAGAAAGCCTCAGGCATGTCTGAAAGAGACTGTGCCCTAGACTTGACAGTCAGTGATGGGAAGCTTGGAGCCTATTTGTCTAATAAGGGAGAAAATAAATGGGGCATGTGTATGCGTGTGCACGTGCACACCTGTGCACACAGCGGTAGGTATCACAAACAGTACTCCAGTTCTTTTTTCACATTCAGGAACTAGCACAATATTTACTGGCAATCCTGAAGCAGATTAGGGGTTTGATTCTCTGTTGCCAAGCACCTGGAAGCCTTTTCCATACACAAACCTAAACCAAACAAAACTGGTACAAATCTGCCTCTAGACACTGCTATTTGGGTTTAGGGGGGCTTTATTTTATGTTGGATTAAGCTTGTTCCTACTCAACACAAACCAATTTAAAAATGTGCTTTATTAAAGGCAAAATGTAGCCTTCTGTACTAGTTAAATGTAGATTTTGTACTAGCTTCATTATTTTAACTAGGCTACGGCAGTACATATTTCTACCATATACAAGTCCTTAGATGTGGCAAGTGACCCTTCAGTAATTTCCATAGTATTATTAATCTGTTGTGTGGTATGGTGCATCAGGAGCACCATTCCACAAACATACTGCTTTAGGAATGGAGTTTTGACTTTCAAGTCATGTAACTTGTGCCAAGTGCCAGAACTGTTTCAAAGAGGTTAGGGGTTTGAGAGAAGAAAAAAAAAAGTCATTTGGAAGTGGGAAAGACAGACAGACAGGTGGCATGACTCAGAAGGGACCAAAATATCTCTATGCATCAAGACTTCCCCATCAGAAATAAAAAAATCTCTGGAGGATTCTATTTTGACTGTAAAACAGCCTTGAAATGGGAGCAGTGCAGAGCTCAAGTACCCTACGTGAGAACCAAGAGAGATGGTGTTTTTAAGATGATAGAGGCAGGACCCATGTGGTGTGGAGATTCAGTAGCACAAGACAATGCCTTGTATGGTGGAGCTCTGGCATGTTTCTTCCTGTCCTCATTGGAAACATGACCTATCGTGATTTACAGATAAAAAAAATATTTTGCTCCTTGAACATGGGGACCGCTAGTATTCAGTGTTCTAGGGACTTTTCCTTTGAAAGAACACGCACCTGTGGGAGTGACTTTTTGTGGGTTCTTACCTAGCCCTTGTGAAAGGACCAGGTGGCACACACCCACCTTTTCTGACCCCTGATCCTCTGCCTGACAATAGCATTTAGTAGAGATCCTTCAAACTCAATAAACAAGCTCCCTTTCCCCCATCAGGTGACACGACACACACTGAAATTTTGCGTTATAAATACCAAACCAATGAGCCTACAAAATTCCCCTTCAAATTTGGAGCAATTTTAAATAGCAAATATGCAAGGAAAAATAATAAAAATGCACACATAGAAAAAAGTGAAATTAATTGAAAATATTAATATTATGAATTACTTAATTATCTGTGAAATGGGTTATGGACTTACTGGATAGAGTAATGATTACCAGAAATTCAACCATTTAATTAAGAATGAACTTATGGGCACATTAAAAACATAAAATCTCTCACTAGATGCATTAGTTTTGAGCCTGAAGGCACTCAGCTCAAGTATTGGCAGCAAACCTCTGGAAACTCTAAACTCATAATAATATTGAAAGAAACATATTGTTTGCTTGACTTTTCTCCTTCTCAGTGGAGGAGATGGGGCGTCATGTTCTCCAACAGGTTGTTCTTTGCTACAGGAAGCCTGAAAGAAAAATCCCGTATTTTGCCCAGAAGTAGGAGTGGATAGAAGGGGGAAAAAAAAGCTTACCATCTGAAAAAATGGGCACATCATTGCATTCTTCATCTTTGCAGGAGCACATATACATCAATCCTCCTTCTGCTTTCTTTTCTCTCATTGAACATTTTTTTGAGTTGTAGTCTTCTAAATGATAGCCATAGAGTGGCTTTTTGGGATCATGGCATATTGTTTCTAAAGTTATATTTTCATCATTCTGTCTCCTAAAATTTAAAAGAAGAATTACAAACTACAAAGATGACTACTGTATAACCAGAACAGATGAGTTTCACCCAGAAAGTGTCTTAAGAGGAACTTAAGTAGTGTTAAGATCTCATGCTGATTTCCTGCATATGTAGTAAATTTAGCCTTTTCCACAGGGAGGATTTATATGCAGCAGTGCTACTGGACTTCAAGGAGGGTGGCTAGGCCAGCACACAGTGCTTCTGAAAATCTCGCCCCAAATAACTACTCAGTCTACTCAAACTAATGGTAGACTGACTTGCTTTTCATTTCAGAATATTTTTGGTTCAGGGTTGAGACAAGGGTAAGACATCTTTTTAGCTAAACCTTTTCCGTGGCACCTAGATTTGCCCAATTCCTATTTCTAGAATCTAATGCATTTTAGCTAAGGACAATGGACACTCAGTAGATGGTACGCATAAATTTGTGATTAGGAGATTCCTTTGCTCTCCTCCCACTCCTGAGCTTTTGCCATCTGCGGTTACAATCCTAGACAGTAAAAAATATGTAGCAAATTATAGAAGGGAAAAGAGTTTCTTGAAGTCTGTGGAATTTTTGGAACTAGCTTTTTTTCTTTTTACATTTAATATCTGCAGTGATCATATGATTAAGCATGAGCATGTTTCTTTGAAAGTATGAAACTGGTAGAAAACAGGAATTACAAAACTGACCTATACCTTCTATTTTTTTCCTCTGTGTGTGTGTTTCTTTTTTTGCCTACCTTCTGTGCAAGATGCAAAGTGTGGAATGAGAACTCACAACCTGGCTTGTCTTTTGAACAGATGTTCAGTAAAAAAATCCAGAGAATCTCTCTAACTGCATTATGTTAACTTTGTAGCAGTCAGTAATTAATTACACACGTATTATTCAGGGGTACTACGACTGAATAGAACACTGGACTGTTTCGACGTTTCAAGCGCCTATGTTCATTCACCCTGGACAGCCTTTCAAGTGTACAAATATAACAAATTCATCAATGGATTGATTTAGCACACTTTCACATAATTGGTCCTAATTAGACCTCAGAGTTAACATCCATTTAAATATAAATGAATGAAAAAACCCATGACTTCATGCTTCTGCCTCTGTCTGGCTAGGAGCTGAAAGATTTTCATTGCCAAGGCTGGCTTAATATGTATACAAAAGGAAGAACCTGATCATTTTCAGACTGGAATATAAGCTTAGATTCAATAAGCTCTTCAGTAAAGCTTTACAGGTCGTTAATTTATACATGTCCAAGCTTTCTTCTGTCCCAGGTAGAGGCCATAGGGTCTCCAGAAAACTACATATAAACAAGAGGTAGTGTATAAAAGAATCCTTTCCCCATCCCTTACACAGGAAAATCACCTCCAATCATACATAGCATGTAAGGCTTTCATGATAGATGTGTATTATCCAAATGATAGGGTTAGTTTCCTGTTTAATGATTGATTTGAAATACAGTTACTCTCCTTCATTCACATAAACTAATACTACCATGAAGTTCTCGCTGAGATTTAAATCTGTTTCTACTCTCAGATTGCTGTGGATAGACTCAGTTTGATGGTCTGAGGAAAAAATGCGATTCTTTTAACAAGAGCATACAGTTGGAACAGAACTATTTAAAAAAACACATTGCATATCAGAATTTTTGTTAACTTCAAGCACCCTTCAGCCTGCTGAGCAAAGATATGAGTCAGAGGCTAGAGCATACAGCATGTTATGGTGATAGTATTTGAAGTGCATGTTCCAAAAGAGGGTTTGAATATCTTGATAATAAGGGAAAATTCTAAATAGTTAGAAACTTACCATACAGCCGCGCAGACTTCACTGTCATTTTCACAGATGGCAGTGATGTTGCAGTTGCTATTGCATTGACCTTTGTTTGAGCAGGTGGTCACCTTAACATCACAGAATTTGCATAGTGCATTCAGTTTATATCCATTGCCTCTACTTACATCCATAGATTGGATAACTTCAACTGGAGGGGGGAGAGAGAAAAATAAAATACCTTAGTTACTGTGGCACATCAGACTGCATTAGAGCTGTAGCAAACTAGTAAACTTCCTCTATAGTTAAGGACACATCCAGTTTACCTAAATGGAAAATTCTCTTTAACAACCTGCCAGGTACCATTGGTGTTCTGTAAAAGCATCATTCAAAGTGCTAATTTCCCTCAGCTCCCTTTCACAGCAGTGTTAACTGAAAATTATTTCTACTCTACCTAAAAGTACCATACTATAACAGTTGCCTCATTCTATTTTTAATATGGAGGTACAGTCCCTGGTAAGTTATATTCCCAACATAAAAGAAGTTGCAACTTGTTCTGAGTAGTCTGGCAACCCAGGATAGCACAAAGTATCAGATTCTGGGAAATTTGGGGGATGTGGGTGACAACCATAATATTCGTCTGAATGTACACCATGGGTAGGGACAGCAGTTACATGTAAACTGGTTGAAGTGATCAGAAATTGGTTTAAACCTGTAATAGAATAGAACCTCAGTGCACATAATCCAGTTTCAAAATGGCTGAAACTGGTTTAAGATAAACCTGGTTGAATGTAGCATCAGACTTAACTGATTTGGGTCAAACCAGTTTATGAAACTACTGTCCCAGACCCGTTCCTGGTTCAAGTTAAATCAGAGTCCCCCAGCATCCCAGCATGCTTTCCAGCCCTGGGCTGGGTTGTGCTGTCTACTCCAGAGAGCAGAGCTGGCCCTGCCCCTCTTCTTCCCAGCTGGAGCAGTGAAGGCTAGCTGACAAAGGGGTGAGGGGGGTGGGGGCAAGCCTGGCTGGGAATCAGCCCAGTCTATGCCCCCTGCTCCCCTCCCCGGCAAACCACACCGGTGCTTTAAACTGGTACCAACTGAAGGGTATGGGGTTTTGGAGCTAATTAACAGGTCGCCCTGGTAAGCTGGTTAAGAAGAGTTTGACGTAATGGAAGAGAGGCTACTGTTTTGGTAATTGTGTGATAAATACTCTAATCAGCTCCAGGCTACCTTGCTCCCCTGTCAGTTTGCTGCAGACAGTCTGACAAGCAGGAAGGGAATTTGAAAAGCTCTGTATCATCAACAGATGCATGCACTGCACCCCCCTTCCCCTCCCCCCACCTTGCCTCAGAGTGCTAGCAAGAGTTTGGGGGCTTACAACTCTCCCACCCCTTGAGCAGCCAGCAGGGAAAAGCCAGGGATAGTGCAGGCAAATCTCCCTACTGACTGAGAAAGTCTTGCCAGGGCCTGGCCGAACCCCCCTCAGCTCCACTCTGCGCAAGGGAAGGGAGGACTGCTCCTGTCCCCCCTGGCTTCTAGCCTGAGCCTGCAGGCACATGCCTGAATTTTCTCAATCCAGAGAGATTGTCTGAATGGTTGCAAACCGGTTTACCCTAGCCAGGTTAGACTAACCTGCAAAGGTTGAACCAATTCAGGCTCAGGCTTTTTGACTGTCTGTCCCTAGCCTAGCAGTGCAATCTAGTTTTCTTTCTAGAACTTTCCTATTTTACTATCAGGAGTGCGTTACTATAGGAATTAAATACACATGCTTTTCTTCAAAAGGAAAAAGTTCTTATGATAAATTATTGAGGGGATCTTTGCACCACTGTAAGGGAGATACAGAGAAGAGGTGCCTTCATTTATTTCTTTCTCCTTCAGCCAAGCAACACCTCTTCCTTTTCTTTCTTAGAACACAGTAGTCCTGATATTACTGCAATTAAAACAATCAGCAAAACTTTCACCAATTTTGAGTGGTTCAGGAGATGTTTCTATGTTCTGAGGAAGGACAGAATGAACTCACTGGAAGTCTTCATTAGGGTGGAGCATCCTGGCAAAACATTACAAGCTGACTGGATTTTAGGCCTGAGGTGAACACTCTTACTAATGTATTTGTGTTGCAATAATTCCCAAATGGATTGAAGTCATATCAAACTAGATGCTGAACAAACACAAAGAGGGGGATGCAAGCACTTCATAATCAAATGTATTATAAGTGGTCTAGTAATTAATTAATCATTGAAAATTATTTGCTCTACATGTAATGATGCCTCTACTTCAACAAATACTTAAGATATATTATTAGCACCATTCATCATCCCACTTGCAGTAGCACTTAGAAGTCCAAACAAGTTCAGCAATACCCCAATGCATTACATATATTGCAGTAAGAGTCTATCCTTGACGCTAGAACCAGACATTAGATGGGACAGACCCAGGATGCGTGAACAGAGATATTATTATCCACTTTTTACCGAAGGGAAGACTGAGGTCTAAGAAATAAGTGGCTTGCTCAAGGTTAGAGGAAGTCAGTGGCAGAAGCTAGAATAGAACCTATAACTCCTGACACCCAGTATAGTGTCTTAACAGCCTGAGCACGCTTCCTCGTTTGCTATGTAATGAGCAACAATTTCAGTTTGCATTTCAATACTCCTCTTTAGGACAGCATTAGCTAAAGGCATAACTTGAGTGTTCCCCCAAAACTGACTTCTGTTCTCATGGAGAACCAGGCATGGCTATTGGTTGCATACTGCTAATCCCAAACTAGTTAACACAGCAATACCAGGAAGCCCTTAGACAAGACTTTGCCAAACACACTGTGTTTGTTGACAGACTAAGCCAGATTCAGTGTTGGCCCTGATTACACCAGCTTCTGCCAAGACTCACCCACTGTAAGAAATCCTTGATAGTATAATTGGACTCGCTCCAAGACGAAACCTCCATTTCAGGCAACCAGATTAAAAAAAATTAGCTCATGCTGGGAAACAGCCCAGTTTAACATAAAATCCATGCAAAAGCCCACAAACATTGGGAGTTGTAGAGTCAGTAGAAAGTCAAAGAAAGAAAACTGGATAGCACTATCAACTTAATTCTGAACTGGGTTACATTTATGGACAAAAAAGAGGTTTTTAGGACTTCCAAAATGACTGAACTTGGAATTCTGTTTTAAAAGGGAATCCAGACCACCTGGGAGGTCAGTAGCTCAGTTGCTATTCTCTTTGCATAAATGTAGACAGAACAAATGGGTGTGTGTATGTGTGCAAACTTTTTCCATTTAAATTCAAGATCTAATCTGAAATGCTGGCACTTACAGACAGACTTTGTTTTTCTTTCTATTGTTATAGCGCTCTAAGCAGGTGTTGATGTGTCATTCATTATTTCAACTCAGCTTTAGCTACCCTGACAGCTCAGATGATTGTTTCATTCCAAATGAATTAGAGTGCAGCTTCACTTTCTGCAGTCAAGCATTTATTTAAAGGTCATCAGTTAATTCCAGCATGTTATCTGTACACAAAATCTGGATCCAGGTATGAACTTGGACCCATCTCAGTTTTCTAAGAGGCCACAGTAAGCCACTGAATTGGGGTTGAGCAGTGGCATTAACTCCTTGGCAGCTGGTGCCAACCCATCTCAACAGCCATAATAAGAAGCCCCATCATCTGGATCTGGAGGTAGGTTGGCCCACGATGAGTCCCAGATCCAGATCAAGTTCATCAACTCATTTGAGTTTGACACCCTTGGCCCAGATCCTGACATTGGTAGGGATCTCTTCTAAGGGAGAACATTACTTGCTCATGACCTGTTGTACCTAGAAGCAATGAGTGGTTCATTAATAGCTAGCTTGCTCCTCTTTTGGCAGTAAATTGCATTTATTACATGTGTTACTAGATTTACTATTCCCATGTTCATGTTCTAACTGTTACTGATACTAAGGCCTGATACTAAGGCTTTATTGTATTCAGTAGGGTAACTGAAGTCATGTAGACTTTTTGATTAGAAGCAGGTTCTAGCTTCCAAGGTTGGAGCCTAGGGCTGGTGTCCCTGTTGTCCTGGCCCCTGCTTGGTTAAGAATTGTAGGACAATATCTTTTTGGCCTTGCTTCACTCCCTAGCCATTGCTTTTCTGGAATGTAAAAGTATGTCTCATCCACAGACTAGCAACCGTCTTTATGTTGTTTGTGCTGTTTGTGAATATGTCTGTAGCCTAAGACCTCAGGCTACAGTTTATGTTAGTTTTATTTATTTAGTATTATTTCAAGACTGTCAAAATATAAATAAAATCCACCAATATGTTTTATTTGTCCAGAATACCTGCATTGAAGCCTCACATGTGCTCAAGTGAGGCCTTTAAAAAGCATGAGCAAACTGGTTTTTAGGATCCTATCTTGTGCCATATATGCATATCTATTGCATATCTCTTCTTGCCTAATTTTCTGTTTAGGAATTGTGCACAGAATAGTATCTCTGAGCTGAATCCCCTCCCTTGGAAAAGCATGTTGGGGAAGGAGAATAGAAAGGGAGATTCAACAGTTGGTGAATCTCCAACACAGCTCCAGGGCATTGATTTGAGGTCTCACCCTGTACATTGCAGGAAGGGAGATGTCTTAGTCACAGAGGGAGGAGCCACCATGCAGAGACAACACAGCTTCGGGGAGACTGTTCTCATCTGGACTATGGAAAATGCCCTAGCTGTATTACATTATAAGTGGATGGAAGTATCAGTCACAGTACAACAGAGAGCATATTCCTTGCTTTGCTGCTTATTTCCACTTTTGTGCCCATAACCAGAAGAGGGCTTCATTTGTGCCGAATGCTACAGCATTCACATTGTATAAAAGAAGGGAGAACGGTGCTATAGAAACAACCCTCTTTTGCCTGCGTGCATGTTGCCTTCCAAGCCCTGGGGATCTTTCTTCAGCAGGATGGTTTGGATCTGTGTGTTAAGATCTGCTATCAGCCTGCTGCTCTTTCTCATCTACAGAAATTTCCTTCAGTAATGTAAGGAGGAAGTAGTAGTATATCGTTAACTATAAACATTTAAAAACCATGAGTCAGGCTCCACAAAAACGTGAGATTGGCTTAAAAAAATAAAAGGAAAAAATAAAAACAGTAAGAAATACCTTGGTCCTTTTTTATTCACCACCTGGTCTCTGAGCCTTTAGGATACATTGGAATCAGGTCTTCAAGCTTTTGGCCACAAAAACTGTGGGTTGGAAACTTTTCACAGGAGTCTAA